GACTTCAGGGAAACCTTAGGCTCACTTTGGGTTGGAGGACTGGAGAAAGGAAATAATTGTGAAAACCAATCAGTTTCCTTCCTGGAAAAGGGGGCCTGTGGTAGCAGCACGGCCCCACCCCTGAGCCTCAGGTCTAGGCTGTTGGGTGAGGGGAAAGGAAACCAATAATGATGTCCTTAGACAAGTTCCACGGAGTGAAATTGTCCCCTCACATCTAAGCATACTACAGCGGTGGGATGGTGGAGCAATCTGAGAAGGGTGGAGGTGTTCTTTCCGATGCTGATGGTTTAGCCTCCGGCAGTTCTTTGTCAGGTGCTTATTCTAAGGCCTGCTGTGGATAGGGCAGCTCCTCCAGCCTCTGGGTGCAGGTGTGTGGCCCTGGGGGAATGCAGGTGCTACCTGCATTAGGGCCCCAGGCGGTGCTTTCTCTAAGGTGCTTGACAGCTTCCTCAGAGCCTTTTGGCTTGAGCTGAGAAGCACCCAGCAAGGTCAACCCCAAGCTTGCTGCTCAAGGCTCCTTCCAGCTAGTACCCCTGGTCTCCAGCTGGCTGCCCCACCAGAGAAGCCCTCAGCAAGTCACTCTGGAAGAAGCCAGCTTATTTGGAGAGCTTGGGGCTGGGCTTGGCCTGGGACTGAAGCTATGGTGGCCCCATGGAGCCAGGGCTAGAGCAGGCTTTTAAAGGCAAACAAAGGTGAGAAGAGGGACCCAGGTAAATAAAGTGTTAGGAAGACTACATGGGCAGCCATGACTCAGTCATCAAAGGGATTTCTCCCTGTCACTGACATCGTAGAGGTCATTCTACATTCCTCAGAGAAGGTCGGGGCTTCCAGAACCCAGCCTGGCAAGGGCAGGGGTGCAGAGGGGGATGGGAAGCAGGAGGCTCCAGAAGGGGCGGGCTGTTTCTCCAGGCAGATGAGACACTCCTTTAATCCACAGATCATTGACAGGGCTCCCTCCCTGCTCAAAGGTCCCCAGTGTTTGCTCCACCTTGGGGGACCCTGCCTTCCCCCTTATTTGTGGTTCCTGGAAACTATGGAGTCTGTGGCCCTTGTCACCTAGATAGGGCAGGCTGGCTCTATCTACCTTCACATGCAAGTCTACTTTCTAAATCCCTTTTAAGATCAGGGAAATTATCCAAATAGTGCACCATTCCCGACTCCCTCCTCACCCCTGCACAGGAAACCCTCACCCTGCATTGACTTGAGTTCCCAGGATAATTAAGGGACAGTGAGAAGAAAGAAAATGTCTGATAAAATTGTTCTGCTTGGCAATATATGCCGCTGTTGGGAAAGTGACTCAGACTTCACCGGAGTTTAGGGAGTTCCTCAGCCATTGCATCCAACCAGCACCCCCACACGTGTTCGAAGGAAGGCTTGATAATGGTTGGTTTGACCCCAGCGGCCCCACCCTAGCCTGCCACACAGCCCATTTAGCTAACCTCGCTGAAAAGGAAATGGATCAGAGTGTCCTCTCTGTGGGGCCTCCCCAGAGTCCACCATCTGCTCAGCCCCATCAGGCCACGTGGAGCTCGACGTGTTCATCCTGAAAAGCAGAGACGGACCACAGCCATCCAAAGCTGCCCAGGAGCAGGTCCGTCCCTGCCCAGTGGAGTCAGACTGAATGTCTGGTCCTCTCTACCTAAAGAAAAGTTCCTGAATTTGTAGGAGGTCATTGGTGTCCTCAGGGGCTGGGGTCCCAGACAGTGGGGAAAACAGCTGCCTTACTCTTCTCATGGAGGTGCCACCAAGCATTCAGATCAAGGCAAGCAATACCTCTTTTCCTGTTCTTCTATCCAAGATATATATATTCTCAAAGCCAGGAGAGCTGGGAAAATAAAGAGCCCCAGGAAAGGGCTTGGAACCTGGGGACAGAAATCTGGTTTGGCCCCCGAGAGAGAGGGACTTGGGGTGGGTTCTCACCACAGAGGAAAACCCTTGATGCTGGGAGAACAAGACTGTCAGGCCAGCAGTGGCTAGAGGCTATCACAGAGCCTTCAGTTACCATTTGTTCACTCGCCAGTGCCTCCTGCTTCCAGCGACCTTTGTGTAGCATATGAAAATATGTTCCTAGGAAGTCCTACACAGTAGGCTTTATGGGGCTGTGGGAAGGGGCTCCAGTAAAGGTTCAGCTCTCCTTGAGTCACTGGTCCCATTGGAAAGCTACTCTTCCTGGAGAGGAGACAGGGAACTTGGCGTCTGTGTAGCCCTTGCTTTTTACAAAGGAGAAATCAGAGGCCCAGAAAGGTTAGGTGACTTTCCCAAGACCACACAGCTAACTATTTCAGTCACTAAAATTAAATGAGTTGCTACAGTGCAGCAATTTTTCACCTGGGCACCAAAAAAATTTTTAAAACATGCAATACCTGACTATTTAGTCAGGGACACTGACCTCTTTTCCCATACATCATCAAGTTGTTTTTTTTTTTTTTTAAAAAGGCAACAGACAACACAACAATAGCCATCAGGTCGGCAAAAAAATATACTATTTTTTGGTGTGCTGAAGAATATTAGTAATTTATGTGTGCTGTGAGATGGAAAAGGTTGAAAATCTCTGCTACCATGCATTCTCTGTAATTCCGCGCCCATGTTCATTATTACTAAGGCTGCTGGTGCTGCCCTGGAAACACTGTCTCCCCAACAGGAGACCAAGGAGCACCCCAACTGCCCACCCCCACCCCAAACTCTGCCAGAACAACCCACTTCTTCCTTTAGGACAGGTCGAGTGATTTCTCCCATCCTATTGATTTCCCCCTTTCACAGGCACCTGCTAACTGCGGTTTATGAGTTTATTGGATGGTGACTTTTCCACAAATTCCATCTCAGATTTTTCTCCAGTTGCCAAAGAAGGTATCCATTTACTTTTGTCCCGCAGTCAATACTTTCTGAAAAGAGATGTTTATTTTTTAATGAAAACTGATATCATGTGGCTGTTCTCTGGAAATGTGTCCAAAGTAAAATGAGTAAAGGTTTTGCAAAGAAATTGTGCCGCCTTTCCCTTCCCCGGCTTCCCTTCGTCCAGCGTCAGTGTCCGAGGGGAGCATTTGGACACAGACCGAAAGCCTGTTCAGCGGGGAGGTGAAGAAAGCCCCCACTCGGGTTCCGGCTACACAGGTGAAAGCCCAGCTCCGTCGGGCCCGTGAATTCGTAACGGGAGCTATGGGAGCTGTCGGGTCCACTCATTCAGGCAACACCTGGGCTGGGCTTGAACATTTTAAGGGGACGTGAAGATGGACAAAGCAACGCCTGCTCAGAAGGGCATGTGCTTGTAGGGGCCGAAGGGTTTCGGATCCTGAATCCAGGTCCTCGGCCTCAGCGTTGCCATCGCGCTTTTGTAACGAATTGGTAAGTAAAGTATTATTATTCACCCTGAAACCTGCACCAACTACTTCCGTGCCCCCGCCACGCGCTGGGTGCGCTCTGGTCACCCAAACCTCCTCGGTGGGTGCGCACAGGCGGAGGTCCAAGTTCTCGCAGCGGTCCCTGTTGTCGGTTCGTCTCCCGCATCCTGCGCACCCGAGCGGAACCGAGAAAGCGACTCCGCCAGACCGAGGCCGGCGAGGCCCAGGAGCCTCATTGTTTGAGCCAAATTGCAGCTGGAGAAAACTGCACTGCCAGGCGGCCTGCGCGCGAGGAAAGGTCCCCTTGCCTCTGCTCCTCCCGGTGAAGAGAGTAGGAGCCACCGGCGGCTTCGGCCAAGGCACTTCCCAGCCCGGAGTCCGGCCCTCCCACCGCGAAGGCTCGGGCTGCTTTGAAAGAGGCACAGGGCAGCCGGCTCTCCCTCCCCTGCACCCACAGCTCCTTTGAAGGGGCGGACCCAGCGTCTTTCCCCACGCGTACTCCCTTATTTCTGCAGAAATAAACAATTTCCCCGACAGGCTTTGAACCGCTGAAACGTAGCTGTGAAATCGAGACACCAGGTCGTTCCTCAGAGGTCTAGATCACTTCTACACTCGTTCTAAAAACAGCGCTTGGAAGGCCTGCCTGTCTTAGAGTGAGCACATTCACAGAGGGAGCCCAGACTCTGTATTTGGGGGCCCATCTGTCTAAGAGCTGGACTCAGCCAGGGTTTGACAGGGTGCTTTGCAGCTACTGCGTGATTCTGAGTGTCCCGGCCAGCCTGTGGCACTTGTATCCTGGGCCAAGCAGCAGGTTTCTTGTGTATGGTATGTCAGGAAAACTGCCAAGTTACCCTGGCCAGAGAGAGACAGGCATCTAGCCCTAGGCACAGGGGCTCCACCATTGCCCCTGGGGCCTACAGCACAGATACCAAGTCATTGAGTTCCCTTTGTGGTTTGCACCTGACCTTCCTACCCCCGAGCAGGCATCAGGCACAGACCCCAGCTACAAAGATACTAGTGACCACAGCTCCCTCCCCTAGTCCCCCCACTTATGCCTTCACCCTTACCACTAACAGGAACAACTGTAAGATGGGAAGGGAGAATGAGGTTACTTGATTAAGATTCCAGTGTTCCTGGAGTGGCTTCTTTCTGTTGGATTCAGCCCCAAACAAGGGTGTGGCCACACAAGCCAGATCACTTTGTATGGGAAAGAAGGTATTCTTGTTGCTGTTGCTGCTGCTAACCCAGACCAGCCGGTCCCAGCGGGTCACTAGTGGAGGTTCTTGTCTGTAAGAGGACCAACTCTGCCTTCACTTCCAGCGTGTTGGTGATGGGGAGGGTACACGTGGCTAGTTTCTCCTCTGCCAGAAGAAACATAAGTAGCAGTTGTTGGCGTCTGTTAGATCTTCCAGTGTGTGTGGCAGAAAGACAGAAAGACAGAGAGAAAGAGGAAGGGAGGGAGGGGGGAGAGAGAGAGAGAGGGAGAGATGGGCTCCTCCTGCATGAGTGGACACTCTGGAGACCCAGGCATGACACACTCTGTTGAGCCGACCTACCTTGGCCAAAAACATTTCTTTGGGCAATGCTTTTCTTCCATTACCCACTGTATCAGCGCTATGGCGTTCAATCTTCATCCCACAATATCCGGCACTGCTCAATAAGTATTATTAAATTATTAATTTTTATTGTTAATTTTAAAAATGACTAATGGGTTTCCTGGGCAGCCTGAAGTTCTGAGGAGCCCACCTCCAGGAGAGACCTGTCGCAAGGGACGCCTTCCCAGCTCTGGCCTGCCGCGGTGCTCTCTCCCACCCATCTTTCCCACACTCGGCGACCTCCGCGCGGCGCCTGCACCGCAGACTGAGACCCCCCGCTTGCTTTCCTTGCACGGGCTCCTCTCCCTGCCCCCAAGTGAGAACGCTGCTCCGCTCACTCGTAAATGTTGGTGCAGCAAATAAGGTGAGAGGAAGGGAGAAAAAAAAACAAACAAACAGGCAAACCCCAATGGAATAAAAGATTAATTCTCCGTTCGTTTTGCTTGGCAGCTCCAGCTTAGCAGGAAAGGGTAGGCAGCCAGAGCTGGATAAGCGCTTTGGAAACCACAAAAGCTGGTGGTGTCAACGATCTGCAAAGGGAGTGAAGACGTGAAGCAGTGAGCTGGATAAATGGGGCAAAGCACGAAACTACATAGATATTTTGGCAACGCGTACGGATGTGGGGAGGTGAACAAAAGGGCTCATTATTCGTATGATTGCCTCAGTCCTCCCCTCCTTTGTGTGCGCTTGTGGACACGGTCTGGGACTGTACCAGCCTCCCGCCCAGGGCGCACCGTGCAGGGTCGCGGTCTCCGCGCATCCTGGGCCCGGGCGCGGGCAGTAGCTACAGTCGGGCGGCAGGGTCCACGCCGAAGAGGTCGGCGAGCCGCAGGCGGCCAATCTTCTTCACCTCGCCCAAGGCTGTGCGCAGCTCCAGAGCAGACGGGCAGCGCAGCCGGCGCTCCAGCTCGCGGAACACGGTCTCCCGGTCGCTGAGGCGCGCGGCGAGCACGAAGGGGAAGCCAAAGCGCGCGCGGTACTGCGAGTTGAGCTCAGCCAGCCTTAGCCCCTCGTTGGCACCCAAGCTCATCAGGCCCGCGACGCTGTGCTCCCGCTGCGACTCCGCAGTCAGCGTGCCCTGATGCAGGTCGTGGCCCGCCAGGTCCGGGTAGCAGCGAAGGACGCCCTCCTTGCCTGCGGAGAAGCACAGACACACCGGCGGGAGCCCGTTACCACAGCGCTGACGCAGAGGAAGGGACTCTACCGTCTCCCCTGCCCCGAGGAGGCTTCGGTTGGGAACCGAGGCCCCCGGGAGATGATGAGGGGCAAAAAGGAGTATCCTGGAGGAACAGGGGCTTCCATTGCACTCGCCCCCCAAACATATCTGGACCTTTGCGTCCCTCCGCCTCCGCTTCTTTCGGCCTCGCTAGGACCCAGGGGCGGGGCGGGAAGTGACAAATTTGTCCTTTGAGACCTTAGGGCAAGAAGAGCGGAGGGGGTGAGGCTGCTGAGACTCGGAATTTACAACTTGCTCGGGAGGGAGCAGAGACGCGATAAGGAGCCTGAGCATTTCGTGTCTTTTCAAAGTCCTTTGCTCTCAGGGGGACTTTGATGTCGAAGAGGGCTGGACGGAGGCCTGAGGACTTCCTGCAAAGGCCCAGGAACGGGGTTCGTTCTGTTCCAAAGGAGAAGGACGAGGAGGGTCCACGGGGGTAACATCCATGGGGCGTGGCAAAATGCCCAGGGTTTTGTGGCCCTTCTAGAATCAGGCCTCCAAAGAGCCCTGCAGATGATTAACTGGGGGGGAATTCCCGCCAGAATTCTGCAGCCCTTTGAATGAAAGAGGCTTTCCTCCTTTCAGGAAAACAGCACACACTCACCACCACACACCCTATCTGAGGCTCATTCCCCTTTCTCAGCGGTGGATCCCAAGTAGACCGCGGAGCAACATTCTTTCCTACTCCCCTGGAAGTGAAATGGGACTGAGTGTGATGCCTGGGAGTTAAATCCCAACCCAGGGGTTTTCTCGGGGACCTGGCCACTCTTTCCACTTAGCTCTCTAGGGGGGATTGGAAACCTCAGAGCCACAATCTGCACAGCGAGAGTGTGTGGCTGAATTTGCTGAGCAGTTGTAAGGAGTAGAGACAACTCATCTATCTAAAACACCGTGCCCAATGCCGGCAGAGTTCAACGGCCACTATTCTCATAGTAAACTCGTAAATGACTAAGGCAGGGCCTGAAGCATCTGACTCTGGCACTGGGGATAGGCAAGGGGTTCTACTGGAAAAGGTGATCATTTAAAATCCCCCTTCATTGTGATGCAAATACCCCTTTACTCAAATTTTATCATTTCTGACCAATTAAAAGATGATTGTGATTGCTCTATCTAACTCATGGACCGGAGTCCTGAGCAGTGAGAAGAACTGTGGGGGACCACCTGCATTTATGAGAGGATTCAGTGGAGGCTCAGAAAAGGTTAGGAGACTCCCCATGGTCACCTAGCCAGAGGCTGATCGCACCTGGACTCTGGACTCCAAATCCTGAGCATCTTTTGGGGCACTGACTGCCTCTACAAGGTTAGGGGCAGTTTAAAAGGAAACCCATTGTCACCAATAATTCCACGTCTATATCACCATGGTTTTAGAATCCCTCTCACGAGCTTTGCCCCTTGGGCCCTGCAAAGAGAAGATGGTGCTTTCTCATTTCCTGCATCCAGCCCTGTCCAGGTGGTGTGAAAATGTAGATGTTAAAATTGGTGCCTGGGGGTCCTCCTCCCCATATCCCTGAATCAGAGCTGGCTGTGTCACGAGACTACTGAATCTGTTTCTGCTCCGCATCCCCTCAGCCCTGGGACCCTCAGGCCACTAGGCTGGGAGAGGGGAAACTTCAAGTCCGGGGTGACTCGGCAGGTCCCCACCCATCAGCTCCCACTCTGCGCCCCATCTTTGCATATTCAGATTTTCAAAGCAGCCTCTAGGGAAGAAGGCTCGGAGGAGGGGGAGCAGCCCCAGTCCTTTCTCAAGACTCCTAGTCTCTTTGCTTCCCTTCCTCCTATTTCTTAACTTTTCAGAGGCTCAGCTCTAGCTTTAGGACAGTAATTAGTTACCTGTGGGAGACCCCGGTGTGGGGGCAGGGCCTGTCCCCTTACGGCCTCACTGTCCTGCATGGGCCCCACCTGCCTCTTGTCTTCTTGCCTTTGCACCTTGCTTCTAATTCCCCTGGGTTTGTCTCCTCTCTTGAAAACACTGCCTGGGGTTAATGTTTGCCTAGAACTGAGCCTGTGTTTTCCACTGTTTGCAGGAGGAGAGAAAGGAAGATGAGAAAAGGGGAAGAGCACAGGGAAGAAGAGACTGAAAACTAAACTGGAAGATACACACACACAAACCTCAGCTGCAAGAAATAGAACCTGATGAGGGGTCCTGTCGTCTGTCTTTATTGCCCCAACCCAGGGCCATCAGGGGATGGCCCTGATCCAGTCCCCCAGCCTGCAGCAAAGCTTCTGTTCCCCTCCCAACGCTGCACCCTGGAAGCACTTCCAGCCCTGGCCTGAAACTCCAGAGTAGCAGGTACTTCCCACCTCCCTGCCTTCAGTCCTGCAGATCCTCCCACTTGGAATGCCAAACTTCTAACCAGACACTTGAATGCCCCTTGGTTCTGAGGGCCATTTCAATTCTGCCTGTTCTTTTGCCACTCACTCCCTGTGCCACTGACATGCCATGTGTAGAGATGTGGATATGTATTGTTTGCTGCAGTCATGAGACATGTATCTATGCATTGGAAGAATTCCTAGCATAGAGCTGATACTCTCTGTTCCAATAAAAGAAGACAGGGCAGGCTACAGTGGCCACTGAAGAGCAGGCAATTGGATTAAAAATCTGTTCCAGTCCACTTGTGTCCCTACATCTGTGCCAAGTAGTGTGTGCACCTTCCTCGTACAATAGATCATCTAGTCCCTCGGGCAAAGACTGACCTCTCCACTGGTGTTCTTGAAGCCAGTCTCCCTTTTCATCTCAAAGACTGCAATTTCAAACATCAATTTCTCTTCCTTCAACTCATCATTGATATACAAACATGCCACAGAATCACTCATCCCATAAACAAAATCGAATCCCTCTCTTGAGTTCCTCTTGTCCTCTAGCTTCTCCCTGAGTCTCTGCTCCTCCTTGTAGCAACACAGGGAAGCTAGTGTCTACGCAGGATCTCCACTTCTTCACTTCCCACCCCAGGTTCACTCTACTAAGCTTTCAGCCCCACCCATCAACAAATCTGCATTCATCAAGGGTGTCACAGAAGATGGACATTTTGCCTAAACCCATGACAAGGTCTCTGGCCTCTTCTCTTACCTCTTTGGGAGCATGTCACAGGGTTGGCCCTCTTTCCCTCTTGAAGGGTTACCATCATTTGCCTACTTTCACCATCTTGCTCGGCCAGATTACTACTGAAGTACCAAGGACCCACATCTCCCCCCTTCTGTATTTACACTGATGCCCTATGTTTTCTCATCTAGTCCCATTGCTTGAGAGGCTATATAAGGTCTTTGGTGACACTCAGATCTATGCCATCCCTCAGCTTTTCACTGAGTGCCTTTTTTATGGCCCACCTGAACCTGCTATATTTTCATCCAGGTGAATACCAGGCATCTCACACTTAACCAACTCCCGTTCTCCACCTTGTCCTCTGGATTATTTTTTTAAAGATTTTAATTAATTATTTTTAGAGAGAGGGGAAGGGAGAGAAAAAGAAAAGGAGAGAAACATCAATGTGTGGTTGCGTCTCACATGGCCCCCACTGGGGACCTGGCCTGCAACCCAGGCACGTGCCCTGACTGGAGTTGAACTGGCAACCCCATGGTTCACAGGCTGGCACTCAATCCTCTGAGCCACACCAGCCAGGGCTCGTCTGGATTCTTGTCTTCCTCATTGTAGAAAGCAGTGCCCCCACCCACCCAGTTGCTCAGACTGAAAACTTAGGAGTTATCCTTAATTTCTCTTAGATTTTGACCTGCCTTCCCCCAACAAATTTCAAACACCCGTTGGCTCTAATGCTAACATCTATTTTGAGAATCCGGCCACATCTGTCCTTCTTCAATCCTTGTCCCAAGACCTCTCACTTTTACTACCACAGCAGCTCTGCTCGCTGACCTCTCTCTCCTCGTATTTCTCCATTTCTCACTACTCTCCAGCCATCTTGATCTTTCGGTGCCCCCAAATGCCAGAAGTCTCAGGCTCCTTTTCTCAGAGTGGCCTTCTCCTAGATCTTTGACGGCTTCCTTCTCATCCTTTGGTTTTAAACTCAAATATCATTTTCTAAGGAAGACCTCTTTTTATGTATTTTCTATAATAGTACATATTTTCTTCTAATAGTTCCTAGAACCTGAAATTATTTATTTATGCTAATTCTGTCTCTCTTCGCTGGAATGTAAACTCGTTGAAGGCAAGGACTTATCTTGGTCACTGTTCCAATCCCCAGTGCCTGGGACAATTTCTGGGGCTAGTGGGCACTCAAGAAGTATTTGTTAACCAACACATCACTCTTGGGAAGGAATTTAATATATTCTTTGACAGAACACATTTTAATAGCCTCTTCTACCTTATAGCCTGCATTCAAGGGATTTATTAGTATCTAACTTCATTAATTCAACAAGTCTGTTTTGAAATGAGTATTAAATAATGAATTATGCCATTACTGCAACTGTGAGATGCCACGAAGAGATGCATGATTAACTCTATCATAACAGTTTTTTTGCACTTTGATTTTTAACACAAACCAGTGTTTGTGCTGAACTAATTCATTATTGGCCCCACGTGTTTCACCATTCTTCCCTCTGCTATTGCCACTCCCCTTTCCTGGAAATCAGGAGGTTGGCTTCAAAGGAAGCTTTGCCAATTATTGCTAGAGCTAAATATTAATCCTGGACTGCCATCTACTGGCTAACAGTCATCATAGCATAATCTAAATGGATTATCAATGGATTGTCAACCTTGGTTTACTGTAAAAACAGGATCTTCAGTTTTCTGTTAGTGGTAGAGTATTTTCTTAGATTATTCAAAACAAATGTTTGATGAGGTAAATCACCACAGCCTGCACATCTCCTCAAAGTCGCTTTTAGTTTTAGGATACAAAGACTATTACCCCCAGCTTGTTTCTTGCTATTCAAGGAATAAGGCTAGACTGTGCAGGAAATCCCCTTTTATTTGACTGTTTAAACAACCCAAATGAGGTCTGTGGCATTAAGCATTTATTTTAATTAAATAAATTAGTAAACAAATTAATAAAACCCCTAGAAATTGTTTCTAGGCTTTGCTTCTGACTCTCTGGAAGAATCCTGCATAGGTTGCTGGGTTGACCATCAGGGGTTGAGTCCCAGTCCTGCCCCTTTCTAGCCGTGTGTCCTTGATCACATTACTTAATGTCTCCGTGCTTGAGTTTCCACTGCTGTAAAGTGGACATAATAATGATAACACTTTTTTTTATAAATTACTATGAGGTTCAAATGAGTTAACAAATGCAAAGTGTTTGGGAAAGTGTCTGAAACACACTGATAGTAAGGGTTGAATACATTTTAACTACTGTTATTATTATTACTTTGCTAGCCTCACCTATCGGGGATCATTAAGGTGATTAGATGTGGAGCCACCACCCAGGCAGCAGGAGGCTCTGCTCCCAGCTGCCTGCCTAAGACAGGTGTGGATGCCAGCATCGGGCTGAGAAGCAGGCTCCACTAGCAGAGAGGTCCCTTAACTAGAACTTAACTAACCTTAACTAGGGCTTCTAGACCAACTGGTTGGAGTGACTGCTGGTAGGAAAGAAGACCGATATAGGGAAATTTTAATTTCATTATCTAAGCTCCTGGAACAGAGCAAACTCCAAATAAATGTAGAATAACTGATAAAGCAATGAATACGAGGCTGAAGTTATTTATGCTGTCACAGCATTCTCTCTAAATACATTCCTTCCCTGGCCCTACCTCCACTTTGGGTATTGAGACAGATAATAGGATTTTCCTCCTCCTTTTTTTTTCCCTTTTCCTGATAGAGCATAAATGTCATTCATAAAGCATTCATATGCTTTAAAAATCATTTCCCCTCCAGATTCGGAGATTCTCATTTGGCCTCATCCATTTCCCACCAGACATTTTGAACCTGGGCTCCCAAGGCCTCTTGCTCTCTCCAGCTTGCTCTGCAGGCCTGGCCGACTGTGCTGGTGGGTCATCAGTCAGAGGGCCCTGTGGTCCGTCAGCTCCCCTAGCACCTGAGCACAGTGATGGAGGGAGAGCTCAGCTTTGGAGAGGCTCTGAGAAATGGGTGTCAACATGGCCCCGACATTTCTATTAGTTTGATTTTGTAACACTCTCCTCCACTCTTCCTAGATGTGCCTAAAAGGAATTAAAATGAGCTTCTTACTTGTGAGATGTTCGTCTGACAATGGGAAACCATCCCAGATGTTGAAGGCCTAGGCGGATAGGTGGATAGGCGAGACTGCCAGCCTCGTGGAAGCAAGGAGAGGGTCAGCTCTCCCTCCCCACCCAGGTCTCTGTGGAAGGCCCCTCTGTGAAGGCAGAGCTTGCCCGCCCCCCCCCCCCACCGCCTGTCCCTTCAGTTCCATCCAGCTGTCTCTGAAGAGTTATCTAGACAATCTCTTTGGCCTCTAAATCCCTGTGAGGCTGAGTCACTTGGGGTTTGCCTAAACCCCACACCCAGAAGTGCCTCATTTTCTCTATCTACCCAGAGAAAATCAACAACTTCCCTTTCTCCAGAGGAATTCATCCCGAATTTTTGTCTTTTCTTCCTCATTCCCCTCTGGGAGAAGCTGATTTGAATGTATTTACTTTCCTCAGCAGTCTAGTCAAACTGGCCCTTTTTGGTAAAAAACGTCAGCCACGTGCTCTTTCCCCTGGGCTCTTAAGATATCCTGATACGGAGCAGTCTTCTCTCCCGAATACAGGACACTCCCAAAGTGAACGCACTCAGCTGAAACAGATAGGCCTTCCGACCGGCCTTTGGCCTCTTGAGCCCCGTGAGGCCCCATTCTCTTTCCTCATGACCTCACAGCTTTAACATTTAACAGCCGCTTTACCGGAGCCAATATACGTTCTTTTACCTACCTTTTGGCTTAACACCTTGCAAGTGCTGGATTTCCATTTACTAATTTTAAGGAAACTTAGTGGCCCTTACAATAAAAATAGCTAAATAAATATAGCAATTATAACTAACTAAAGGAGCTAAACATGTTTTGATAAGAATATTTGCAACCCCTTTGTGGGGAATCTCAGAATATAATACTGAAGTCTTACCTGACTGTGGCAGAGCATCAATAAAGGCAGAAAAGTGCCTCGCTAAATCTTCCCAGTCAGAGAACGGGCTCTGGGACCACACAGCAGCTGCTATCAGAGGACATCTCTCAATGACATTCCCAAACACTTCCATGAATTCTCTGAAGTCCATGGAGTTGACCTTCCCCATGTCCATTGCTTGCAGGCAGCGGGACACTCGGCCCCTTTCTTGCTGAGTGGCAGCAACTCTGCTCACCAGGTTGTATTTGCTGAACGCACAGTTTTTATGCAACATCCGGTTGGCATGTTTCAAATGCCTCTGGAGCAGTAGGTCCTGAGAAGTTGTGTAATGAGCAAACACAGGCTAAGGATTCTAATCCAGGGAGTGACAACCTCTGTGTGGTAAACATGTTCAATCAAACTGTTTCCACCATCAAAGCCACAGTGGCCATATTTCACTCTCAGCATTTGAGCCACATACAGTTTTGGTGTCAGTAACATTTTAATGTTGACATATCCAGGATAAGTTTTCCCTGAGAACTTCAAAGACAGGTCACAAGTCAACCCACTTGGAATTTCATTGCCCACCTATTGTTGCTGCTGTGGAGGGCAGGTAGTATGTTTTACTCTTTCTCTGTATCACAAATGCTTCACACAATAAGTATTTAGTAAATGCTCATTTAACAGGGGACCTAGAACAGTGCCCATGGTGGGCTGGCAATAATCTGTGGGCTGAATTAGTTGATCAAATGACCATATAGATTAATTGTCACCCTCATATTATTCACAGACAACCCCCCAGAAACACTGTGGATGATAAAGTAAAGAAAAGGAGGGGTCAGAATTTAAAAATAAAGATATTGCAATTTCCCTTTAGAACCAAAAATGCAAACATATTTCCGAAATTTATATTAGCTACACATTTGCTTCCATCTGAATCAAATTCAAAGAGAGAGCAACTGCGTTAACATTAAGAAAGCAGTCGCTTTAGTCCCTGTGGTCTGTGAGAGACAGTAGTACATGGGACAACCTATCACGGCTACAGATTTTATCCTAACTCTGTTGAAATGTCCCAGCCCAGGTCTCACCCTCACTACCTGGGCCGAGGTTATGACTGAAGGATGGACCTCATCCCTTGAAAAGAAACCAATGAAATTTGCTTTTCAAAGGGGAAAATCTGGTGCCAGAAGTACCACCATTACTGATCTTGTCTTCAACATGAAGGATGCTATGAAGATTAACACTTATATGTCACAACCTACATATACGTAAAAACACGTAGGGTCCAGTGGAATGCATGCTGCTTCAGGGTCCTGACCTGCTCTGCCACCTACCATCTGACATCTGGCAAGTTAGTGAACTTTTCTGTACCTCAGTTTCTTTGTCTGTAAAATGAAGATCATAATAGCATTTGCATCATGGGATTTCTGCAAAGGTTAAATAAATTAATGTACTAAAGTGCTTCAAGTGGCTCCTTTGCATAGCACTACCTGGGTGTTGGCTAATATAACATTTTCTATTACAGTCTCTCCATTAGGCTAATTCTATTCTATTCTAGAATAGAATTCTAGAATAGAATTCTAGAGGTTATGACTGAATTCTATTCTAGAATAGAATTTTCTCTATTTCCCATTCTGCCACCACAGTCACGTGGACTTTCCCTTGCCCCTGAGGCTCTGCCACAAACCCAGGTGACAGTCCAGTCACCACTTTGTGCCCTTCTCCCCCCACCGCCGCCCTGAGCCTCGGTGCATCCTGGAGCCAACCTGTGCAGTGCCTGCAATGTCAGAGTGGGCCCTGGGGAAAGGGAAGGTGTGGTCTGTCTATGGCCCCACAACAGTCCACCCAGCTCCCCGCCCTGATTCCTAGACTCTGGGTGACTGGGGAAAAGATGGAGCAGCAACTGAGGAAGAAGGGGGTCCTGGCTCCACTGTGTTTGTCCCCCACCTACTTGCCTGACCCCCTTACCATTTCCTCTTATCTCTGTACACCAAGGGTCTCCTTGCCCTCATAGGAGCTTCTGCCTGGGGCGTGGAGTCCAGGGAGGGGTCTGTTCTTCTGATAGCAGAGGGAGATAGACATCAGCATTTACAGGTGGAAGAGGCTCAGGCTCACACGCCTAGAAATGCTGATACACCTGGTGGGAAGGGCTGCCTCAATGCATTTTTGGCACAGACCAGAAAGCTAACCTCCTTCTGTTTTATTTTTTTTTAATTTTATTAAATTTACTGGGGTGACATTAGTTAATAAGATTACGTAGGTTTCAAGTGTACATTTCTGTCACACATCATCTGTATGTGTGTTCACCACCTAAAATCAAGTCTCCTTCCATCACCATTTATCCCCAACTCTGCCCTCTTCCACTTGCCCCCACTGGCATTTCCGTCTGGTGATCACCATATTGTTATCTGTGTCTACGAGTTTTTGCTTCTTTGCTTGTTTGTTTGTTTGTTTGTTTGTTTGTTTTCTTCACCCCTTCACCTTTTCCACCTGCTCCCAACCCTCTTCCCTAAATCTCCTTTTATTTCATTCTGTCAATAATACAGGGTCTGGCAGAAGGAAGGCCTGCTTCACTGTGGTTGGTAGGTGATAATACAGGTGTAATAATTTGTCATTTTAATTTGAACATTTCACCTAAAATACCATATGGTGTGTGTGATATTGTTATGTTACAGAATTACATGCTTATGATTTAGTAATAAAAGATTTTGTAATAAAGAGGCATTATTTATGCTGGACCCTGTATAATAATAGAGCCCCAAATAACCTACAACACATGAAACTTTAAGATACCAAGGTTAAGGAATGAAGTAGTCATGGATATGGAAACAACTCTGACAAAAAACCCAAATTACTAACATGGAGCTAACACGGCAGCCCACACCTCAGAAGCTCCCTGGGGCTCACCTTTTCCTGTCTGGCTCTCACCAATCAACTCAATCAGCGTAATGTAAGGTGGTCAGAGGTGAGGCAATTTTCATCCATAAAGATGAGTTGTTGAATTGCATAAAAGCATAAAGCTGAGTTGTTGAATTGCATGTGAGAAATAGGTAAACTGGTGGTATATGAATTATATATCCAAAAACTAGGTTTGTAAAAGTTAGTTTATATATAAATGTAGTCTCATAATTTGTGTTTAACAATACAATACATGGTTCTTATGTTCTAATTGCTGAATGTATTATAGTTGACTTTATTATAATTTTTCTTTTAAGAGACTTTTAGCAGCACATGCAGAAAATTCTTAAACAGGCACAGTTAAATTTTTATTTCATTTTTTAGTTGAAACATTTCATGTCTGCTCCCTTCAGCTGTAGCTGTTAACTTTCCATGAATGAGCCCATGCAGGAGGGTTTTCTCAATAAGATACCAGAAAGACAATTCACTTTCCTGCATATACATTCATGATTTGAGGCAAACTAAAAGTTGGAAACCCTATAATCTTGCTGCTACTAGAAGGCTTTCCTTCGCTGAGGACTGAGCCCAAAGCAAAAGGAAGGAAGGGCTGCAGGAAGGAGCCCTCTGGAGGCCGGTGTGGCTGAGAGAAGACAGGCAGGGGGTCCAGGCCAGGCCTGCGCTGAGCGCTTCCTCTGTGTGTTTCAACTTCCAAGGGCCTACCTCACAATTTGTTAAATGAAACAATGCCTATCAAGCCTTTAGCAACCGCTCTAGGATACATGTGTTTTCCATAAATGCTAATATAAAGAATGCATCAAAGCAAACCTTGAAGACATTACGTTAGGCAAAACAAGCCAGTTATACAAAGACAAATACTATATGTTCCACTTCTATGAGGTATCTACAGAATCTACTTTATAGAAGCAGAAAGTAGAATGATGGGCACCAGGGCTAGGGGAAGGGTGGGTGGGGAATTAGTGTTTCTCACGGGGACAGAGTTTCATTTCGGGAAGAGGGACTGATTCTGGAGACGGACGGTAGGGATGGCTGCACAACCATGTGAATGTACCTAGTGGTTAAAATGACACATTTTATTTTATGTCTATTTTGCCACAAAAAAAATCATCAAAGCCTTTTCAGCCTTGTTAAGACAAGTCGAAATTTAATATAAGTTTGAACCCCTGGGAGCTAAAAAGATGTGTTTTTTTGTGGAGGGTGAGAAATCTCCCCTTACCTTTCGTTGCTCTCGTTGCTGGTGGTGATTGTGGCATTGACAGAAACAAATGTGAATATTGACATGCCACTTACTTGTGACAAAAATGATAGTGGGAGTAGCAGAGGAGTTCAGATCAATCTGTTACTGAGAAAGTCCCTCATGAAGAACTAAGGTGAGAGAAGGGAGACCAGGAAGAAAACCAAGTGGCAGTGGTGGGGGGAGGAGGGACAGAAAGGAATGCGGGTAACTGAGGGCTGCGATAAGAGATCACCCAGGACATCTTCCTGCTGCAGGCCAAATGCCTCTGGCTGTTTTTCTTACTCCAAAAAATCTCCAGGAAATAGGCTTTTTATGTCAGCACAGGAAGTCAGTCCAGCCTCAGACAACACTGAGCAAAGAAGGTGATCCAGGAAGAAGTTCAAAAGTCAATTCCTTGTGCAGAGGAAGGCACTCTGTGGGACAGAGTGGTAAAAACCAGATTCTATAAAAGAATCTGACATGGGGCTGCTCAGTTCATGTCAGGAATGTGGTAAATAAGTAATGCACATAAAAATGCATGCATAATTGTTATCCTAGACAAGAAACAACCGAATGCTGAATACATGGATTGAAGTTATCTTTACAGAGGGTTTTTTCTTTGTAATTATGTGACTGACCTTTCTTTTAATCCTGCTGAAAATGTGTCTTTCCTGGGGCGGGGAGCGATAATGAAGTCTGGCCCCAAGGCAGAGATTAATTGACAATCAGCAGTCCTGGGGTGCCACCTACTGGTGAGATGACTGTAAAGGCCTGGCTGAAGAGGCTGCCCAAGCAGTAGCAGGAACATCTCCAAAATCAGTGTAATTGTGTTCTCACCTCTGTGTAGCCTTGGCAGAGACACAGCTTTACCTAAACCAAAACCCAATCTGTTGTAAAAGCTGGGCTTAATATAATCTTATTTCACTGTAAACGCCATCTGTCCTTAGAGAATGTTGCCTTTTAAATATCCTATTTGGTATAACAGATGTTACAAAAGTAAAATGATAAAATAAACACTTGTGAATCCATTACCCTAACCAATCCAAAACACTCCAAATGTCATCAGTGTGAGAGTGACTAAACAATAGTGATTCTGTGTTCACATAGTACAACAGTGAATGAAAGAACCAAAGGTTC